TTTTTGGGGGGGGGTGTTCAAAAAAAAACCCCAAAAGGTTGACTTTGGGGGGGCCACAAGCCCGGGTTTTGTGCAAATTTCGAGGAAAGTTTGCTCTTTTTTCCCCAAGGGTGTTTAAGGAAAATTTTGGGACCCCCCCTTTTTTTTGGGGGTTTTGCCCCCCGCTGCTCGCTTCCCGGGCCCCCCTTAAAACCTTTTTCCTTTTTGCGATCCCCCTTGGTCCCCCCCCCCCCCCCCCGGGGGGGGGTCCCCCCCCCCCCGAATAATCCCCCCCCCCTGGGGAAAAACCAAAAAAAGGGTTTTTTTTTTTCCCTTTAAAAAAAACCCCGAAAAAAACCCGGGGGGGGTTTTTGGAAAAAACCCCAAGGGACCAGGGGGCCCGGGGGGCCCCCCCCCCCCCCCCCCCCCCCGCCCCCCCGAGAAAATAGGTACTCCTCCACCCGCCCTCATTCAACCATCTCATACATTTTCCAAATACCCCGCGAACGTGGCGTGACCTCATCATCTTTGAGACCAGCGTCGCTTAACGAAGAATACCTGTTACATTACAGCTTCGTCGCCCCCCCTCTCTCTCAACACAGCAGTCTCTACACACTCATCGACAACATTTAACAAGTATGCCCGCCCTCGTGGGGGTGGGAAGTGCAGACAGGAAGGGGAGAGCCGCCGCCGCCGCCCCTACCTCCAGCCCCCTCTCTCGACACCCCGGCTGAATCCGGAATTTAAGTCACGAGCAAACAGGCTCGGGTGTCTTCTCTTGTCTGTTTGGTGTCATCCTTCTTCGATGCCGTCGGCAATCCGCCTGCCTTACAATTTGCACAGAGCTCTCTCTCTACACACAGCTCTCTCTCTCTCTCCCTCTCTCTCTCTCTCCCCGTTACCTCTTGCTGACAACCCTCGACGACCGATCGCGCCTGTTCGCTTGCCTTCTCTTACTCACACGGAGGGAGGGATGCATATGAACCTATCCCACCGACCAACCCGCTAGCTAGCGGCTTTACAAGGCGTCAAACCGCGGCACCGCCTTCCGGTCTCAATATCGCTCGCTCTTTGCCCCACGCCCTAAACAGCACCGTCGTCGCCTAGCTATCGCCGCCGCCGGTGTCCATCAAGATCTTTACACACAACATATCCATTCTTTTCTGGTGGGGATAGCGCTCCCCGACCATGACCATCCATCACCTTTGGCGTGGTTATGGAGTCTTTTTCGCCTTACGGCTCCGCCTTTATGTCATCGTCTACGGTTGCCGCCGCTGCCGCTGCCGCCGCCGCCGCTATGACAGAAGCGTCGCCGCTACCGCCACCACCTCTGCAAGAGAATCGTCCCCGCCGCCACCACCACCGCCTTCTCTTGCGTCGTTGCCGCCGTCGCCGATCCCAAGCCCGACTCCTCCTCCTTCTCCTTCTCCTTCTTGCCAAGAACTTGGCTCCGCTTCGCCTGCTGCTGTTCTCGACGCTGGGGTCCCCGCACCTGCCGTCGCTGCCCCACCCCCCTCTGCTGCCGCCGCCGTCGCCCCCCTTCCCTCCGTAGCCGCCCCTGTTGCTGCTGCCTCTTCTGCTACATCGTCATCGGCTGGCAACGTCGACGGTCCTCTTGTTGAAGCTGCCTCCTCTTCCGGGGCTACGCACGTGGCCAGCTCACCCTGCCCTCCAACTGCGACTACTGCGGACACCAACGCAGAAGAAGAGGCAGATGACGCGGGCCCCGGAGAAATCTTGCTCTTTAACTCGTCCACCGCCTGGAGGTAAAGAGTGAATTGATTCAATGAGGGGAGGGGGGGGGACGCAGACATTTAATTCGAGTGGGGGGGGGGGGCAGATGCGCGTGGGTACGTGTGCGTATGATGAGAAGGTTTTTTCCGTGAGCATCGACCGTTCCGACAGCAGGCTGACCCATGGACAAAAAAAATAACCGGCAGTGTTTCTTTTTCACAGAACGAAAATACGGCATAACGGGTTTGCGGGGGGAAAAGGAAGGGACGGGCAAGAGCAGGGAAGGTTTGACGATGCCCTGGAAATCTTCCGCCTCTAGAGAGAGAGCTGCCCGAGACATGTGCGGGTGTGTTCCGGAGAGAACCAATCAATACCGCATCGACCTCTTGGGGGCAGAGCATGGACGAACCAAGCCCACGGTGCGACCACAGCAGCGAAAAACAGGGGTGCTTCGAAACAGCAGCAGCAGCAGCAGCAGCACCACCGCCACCACCATGACACCTACTGCTGTACCTTTCTCTCCTGGGCGACGAGCGTCTCGACGCCCCGCCGGTCTCGCATCAGCAGCAAAAAGTCCTCCCACTCCACCCGACCGTCCTGCCCCGTGTCCGCTTCCTGACAGACACGGAAACGCGCGAGACAAGCACAAGAAGGCAGCGCCCGCCCCCGGCAAAGGACACAATCAAAACGCGAACGTTGAACAGCAGCAACGTTTTTTTTCGTACGCGTGTGGGAATGTCAGCGATATTTTGGGGGGGAGGGTTGCTCCTCCAATCCAGGTCGCGTGTCTTCGATTTAATACCCGTTTTTTCCCACTGAAATACGTGTACGTCCGCGTACTTTTCTATTTCGTTTCTCGCACTTTTGGGTCAGCAAAAAGAGAGTTTAAACAAAAGTCAATTGTACGGACCTCTCAAACAAGAACGCCGTTTTCGATTGCACAAAAGATGGAATCGGTGTGAGGTGACAGGAACGTCGTCACCGACACCGACGATATCCCACAACAGCAACGATGCCAACAGCTGCAATGACGACAACAACAACAACAACAACAACAATCACCTCCAGAGTCTTGTGGATCGCCTCATCGTCGTAGCTGGGACCCATGATCTCCCTGAGGTTGTCCACGGTGATCGACCCGCTCTCGTCGATGTCTAGCCTCTCGAAAGCCTGCCGCAGACGCACCTCCTTCATTGGGCGGACGGCCGCAAAAAGAGAAAAAGAAGGCAGAACAGCGGTTAGATAAACAACCAGCGGCACGCATCACCCATGAAAGGCGCTGAGGCATACTTCTTGGCAAATATATCGGCAAGCATACGGTGATGCAACAAAATGGTTGTGACCTAAGCGATCTCTCCTACGAATGTCTACCGCCCCTTCTCATGAGAAGAAACGAGCGCTCCCCTCTGCTACGTTAAAGACGCTCAGCGAACGACCCACAGGTAAAGAGAGTGCGTGGCATCTGTCTCACACGCGCGACCTGGTGTTAGCACCTTCGGTGCATGCTGCTCTAGCCACCACCCACACTCCAACTACACCACGACCACGTGGATGGTTTTGCTGCCTGTGAAAAGACTAGAGCAAACAGGCAGATGGAAAGAGAAAGCGCTGCTGCCGCTGCTGCTTCTTGTTGTTTTTCTTTTTCTGCCGCTGCTGCTGCTGCTGCTGCTGTTACTGCCTCTGGTGATGGTGGTTACTAACCTCCGTGGCTCCGACAGCCTCGATGGTAGCCGCCAGAAACTCCAGGTAGTGGATGTCGCCACTTTGGTCCTGGTTCACCACGGAACACGGCATACGGCACACGCAACGCGGGACACGGGACATGGAATGCGACCGAGAAAGGAAAGCGCCGCGACAGGCAGCGCGGGACAAAAGAGAAAAGAGAGCTAAGTAAACTGTGACAAAGTGAACTGTGGTAAGGGAGGAAAACAAGTCTAGAGAAAAAGACGGGGGAGAGGGGGGGGGGGACACTACCTGTAGTTGGGGTGATTCTTTGCTGCGAGCGGGAACGGGTCGGCGATGAAAAATATTTTCCGCGTGTGCCGCGAACGCACACCACTGAACGAGCCGGCTGCGGCAATGTACGGAGACAACCGGATGCCCAACGCTTCAACCACGCCCCTGCTCTCGGCCATTTTCACTAACTCGCGACGTCTCAGTGGAGGCATGTCTGGTCCTCTCACACTGCGGGACCCCAAAACACAAAAGGGCAATCAGAATAAGCCTTTGTAGCAGGAGGGACAGCGAAGGTTCGGACAGAAAAATATCGCCCCATCCTCACAGAAAATAAACAAATTGTTTTCTTTCCAGGGAGAAGCATGAAGCGCCCGCATTTTCGTCCAAAAAACTTCCTTGACGTGCTCGAAACGCAAGCGGAGGTGCTGCGCACCAAAACAACAAATGTGCTTCGCACGCTCTTTCGCGCGCTTCCCGAACACAGCCTCTCCACCACAACAACAACAACGGAGAGCCACAACACCCCGCCCGACCACTCGCCAGCATGCACAAGTCGTTGCGCGACAAACAAGGCGTAAAATAGCTTGCTTACCACGTCGAGGCTCTCGAAGAGCTCCTCGATCTCCTCCGGGCTTACTCCTCGCTGGGACAGCGCCGTCCGCATCTCCCCCCTGCTGATCTTTCCGTTTCTCTCCTACAAAAAAAAAAAAAAAGTGCCGAGGAGGAGGAGGACAAGGAGGAGGAGGTTTTACTCAGCAGCAGCACCGGCCATGAAACAGCAGCAAGCAAGCAAACCAAACGCAACAAATCTGTGGACATAGAGGAGTGCTAGCCACTGCACAAACCACCCTATAGGTAGACCTTTTACGGCTCGATTGCTCCACAACCACGAGGGGGTATCAAAACGCCGAAAAGAAGTCGATTGAGAGCTTTCCTTGCACGTAGGAGCGGTCGGTAGTGTTCGCTCCCTTTTCGGGTTGTAGTGGAGAAAATCAAGCCGAAAGAGTCACCGTCTTATTCGGGGCAACCAATCGCTGTCTCGCAAAAAACTGTTCCAAAAATATCCCAGGGGGGGGGGGGGGGGACAAACCCCCCAAAAAAAGCGAAAAAAGAAAGCAAAACACTTGTTGGTTGACGGCATCACCGCCGCGGTCCGCTTGTTCAGCGGGCCAACACAAGAACACCACGAAAAAAACGTCGGCCTTGAAATCAACCTAACCCCAGCCCTGTCCCTCAACCTAACCCAACTTACGGTGTCGAAGTCCACAAACTCGTTCCGAAGCTCCCGCAGCTTGTCGGGGGACTGGTTGTACGCCACCACCATGAGGGCCGTCCTCCTAAGGGCCCCGTACGACCGGTAGTCCCGCATACTCGAGAGCATCCGCACGGAGATCGGCGCCTCCTGCGGCATTTCTCCGAGGGCATCATCCTCCTCCTCCTCCTCCTCCTCCTCCTCCTCCTGCGATTTGCCGTCCCCCCTCCCCGTCTCCCGAGCGGCTTCCTCTGCTGAACCCCCGCCGACCGCCGCGGTACTACCACTACTCGCGGCCACGCTCGGAGGCGGCGGTAATCCCGCCGCACCAGCGGCCAATCTCGCCGCATCCGGCGGCGGGACCTTCGGCGATTCCGCCGCCGCCGCCGCAGTTCCAGCCAGGGACGTCGATGAGGACGAGGCTATTGTCGATGGAGTGCTCTCCCGAACCACCACCCGGGAGTTCGACGAGGAGAACGCGGAGGAGGCGTTCACGTTGCGGGGGCTCCGTGCCACCGCTGTGGCCGGAGGGGAGGCGTCGGGCCCCCCCGGGGCGAAGCGCTTGATCCACGGGGACGCGATCGCCTCCTCCACTGTCCAGCGGCGACGGGGGTCGAACTTGAGGAGGTTGTAGCATAAACCTTTTGCCTCGCTGGCGTTCACAGCGACCATCGGAGCAAAAAAAATCCAGGGAGGGGGTTGGGGGGGGGGGGGGGGGGGCGGCGGCGCACGTGGGGTAGATCAGAACTCTTTTTTGTGTTGTCTCCAACCCTTTGACGATGAATCAATCACACGTTTCGAGTCGGAAAGCACCGTGAGTCTCCACTGCCGTGTCCAGATGTTTATCTCACCCCTTTCCGCATTGGAGAAAAGGCGGGGCGGGGGCGTCTCTCTCTCTTTCTCTCTTTCTCTCTCTCTCTCTCTCTCTCTCTCTCTCTCTCTCTCTCTCTCTCTGTGCGTGGTGCAAAAACAACGCCTAGATATGGCAAAACGCTACTTGCGAGCCCCGAGCAAAGACTTTGCGCTGGAGCAAATGGAACAAACGATCGACGGGGCGCCCCAGGGACCAAAGCATACGACGACAACATGTATGTAGCACGGAATTGTAATTCTTGTTTCGTTTCGAGGTGGGATAGGACGGCACGCAACTTGTTGAGGACTTTTGCATGGCGCGTACATCGAAAACATGCGTGAAGTCAAAGCGGTCAAGACACGGCCACCCTCCTATGTACGTACGTACGTACGTACGTACGATAATTCCATGAACGAACGGGTATGCCACGCGAATGATTTCAGCCATCTTCGACAATGATACCCCATGATGCCATGCGGGCATCTCTCAGCAACTTGAGCACTCTAAAAAAAAACTCTACCCCGCATCTAACATTTTCCCATGACGACACTCCCAAACAGAAACCATCATCCTGAATGCGAACTCCCACACAAAAGACGTGTGACGTATTTAGCATTGCCCTGCGGACAAGCCTGACCAAAACCAAACCATCAGGTTGTATTACCGACCACAACACACACACCTCGAAACCTTCGACCCGATGGGCCAATAGTACTGGACGGCCAGCAGCCTGCGCATGGTGTCCACCTCGTTCTCGCACTCAAACGGCGGCTCCCCCGCGATGAGGTGGAAGGTTATGCAGCCCACGCTCCACAGGTCCGCCTGGGGCGTTTTGCGAGGGGGTGTTGTCGTGTCGTGTTGCGGCGGGCGTTTTGCGTGCATGGCCCCCAGCAGCGAATAACCAGAGGAAGGGGCAGCGGCAACGGGACGGCAGGGCCGAGACGGCCATGTAGGGGTGGTGAGAGGCAGGGGCAGCCGCGGCGCAGCAGTACCACAAAGGTTCAAAGGCTCCAATGAACGGCGGTGGCTTAGATGGCCTATGTATAAAAACCGGGGATAATCAGCGGTGCATGTGGAGGGACGAGATATTGCCTAACGGGATATTTCCCTTCATCGATTCCAACAGAAATCAACCAGGACATAAACACTGATGGGTACTCAGGAGTCTCCCCGCTACACCCCCCTGCCATCCACCCCTGGTTACGTGATATAGAAAAGCCAGCTATACTTCTCTGTGTGAAATAGATGCCACTGCTTTGCAGCATGTTGCGGATATGCACCTGCTTCGTGTACTCCCCCTGAAGCACCTCCGGAGCCATGGTGTACACGGTGCCCACGCGCTCTTTCATAGGCATGCCCTCCTGGAACCGTGCCGACATGCCAAAGTCTATCAACTAATTTCATGGGAACCACGGCGGTAGCAACAGCAGTAGCAGAGGCAGCAGCAGCAGCAGAATCAGCAAGAGGAGAAGACCGGTCGAGAGAAAGGCAGAGGGGTGACTTACCGGACTCGAATCGCATCTTGATAGAACATCAACATACAGTCGGCGGTCCTCAATAACGGTACCCTCAATAGCAGCATGCCCAATGCAGCGGCACCGAAATCGCTTGGCACAAACGCATCTCTCAGTACAATCCATATTAGGAGTAGCGGCTGCCCTCTATAGCTGCACCAAAACCTCTTAGTCACTACCTACCGCTATTGAGGACCACCGACTTTATTGGGAGTGCCAAAATATTTACTTCGGTGATGTGTAGAGAGAGTCGGGCGGAGGTAGGGGGGGGGGGGGGCAGAGGGGTCCGATGCCAAGACGGCAAGTCGGAGTCGTTCCAAAAGAGTCGTTCCAAAAGAGGTGGAGCATGTCTCTTCCGAGAGAGGAGAAACGTGTCTCTGGCTCTGGCTCGGAGAGACCTACCAGGTATTCCAGAACACAGTCAGTCAGCAGAAAGACAGAGACCTGCCCGTCCCCCCAGTCCTGGCAAAACGCAGCTGTATTACGGAAAAAAGGTGGAAATTGCGTGGTACGACCTGGTAAGCGTACCAATCAAAAAGACCAATAGAGGCGACCAAAGTAAGGGGGATCTGACGACATAACAACAAGAAAGGCAGTGCTCCTCCCGGACTGAACCATCAGAAGTGCTGTCGATCGACATGTTCGACAACAAACCGTACATAGGGTTGGGTGGAAGAACTATTTCGCAGAACACGTCTTTCAATCGCCCTGCCACCTTCCCCACCAAAAAAAGTCCCCCACTGCCCGAACATGTCAGAATCTTAAAGCGCATACATAGGTTTTAGACGGCGAAAATCAAACCATTAGACATCTAACGGCTTCTACAGTACACGTAAACATGTACCGACCTTGATCTGAGCGTCTTCGGCCTTGGACTCCCACAGGATGTTCTCGAACTTGAGGTCCCTATGACAGATCCCCTTCTGGTGAGCGTGCAGTATGGCCGACAGCACCTGACGAACCACGGCGGCCGCCTGCGCCTCCGTGTACGTTCTCGCGCCGAGGTCTTGAAAAACAAAAAAAAAAGAGGCGCGCAGTGGCAGAGAGACCGAACACGACCAAACCAAAGGCGAAGAATACATGCTTCAAACAAGGACGTACGAGAGAGACTGAACCAAGACAAAACAAAAGGCGACAACTACATGTGCTTCACACAAGCGCGTAGATAGAGAGACAGAACAAAACAAGAACAAGACAGGAAAATAGGTTGTGGGTGACAGACATCATCATGTTTCGCGGTACACACATTCCGAACACACAGGCAAACCAGAAATGCCGCACGGGATCATCAACACATTCCCGCGACTTTTCCTGCGGCCAACAACAACCAAACCATCCTAACACCGTCCGTGCCATGCATCACGGCCGCAGCACCGTCGCCGCTGCCTTCCCGTTACATAAAGATGCTCCTGCTGGGCGCGATTCGAACCCCCCCCCCCCCCCGTCCGCCCCCGCTAAACGATTGGCCATCGGCGATCGGTAATGTCAGAACAATGAACCGCCCTCTCGAGGACGCGTAGTCAATTATCTAACACGTAAGACACTCACAACACGAGAACCCCCCGCCCTCTCCCTGCGACTCGCCGAATACCTCACGGGGTGTCGCGCTTAGAGATGAAAGAGCCTGGTCAAGTGAGAACCCGGCGTGCTCCGCCCCGGCTTTGTAGGGATGCGAGAAGTCAATGGTCTAATCGCTACCGCATGCACAGCAATGAGTACCCCCCCCCCTTGTCCCCACTCACCGCCGCCGCGGCACAGCTCCATGACCAGGTGCAAGTCCTGCCCAACCTCGTAAGACTCGTAGGCCCTGACGATGTTTGGGTGGTCCAGGCTCCGTAGGAGGTCTATCTCGTTGCGGAGGGTTTCCAAAATGCGGCGTTGCGCTTTCTTCTTCGGGACGCTGCTCACCATGAAGGTCTTGCACGCGAACCTTTTTTTCGTGTTTTTTGGAGTTTTTTTTCCGGGGGGGGGGGAGGGGGGGGGGTGCCCTTTGCTGTGCCTTCGGAAACGGTTACCCCATTT